TTTCAGGCTTGCACTTGACTAGTCCTCGAGGAAACAGCCGACCCCTTTATTTAGTATTTATGTGTTAAACAGTTGTCTAAATTTGTTAATTTTGGGTGGTCGAATTATTGCATATATATTATCAGATGAAAAGCGTAAACAATTGATAATGCAAAAATCAGCCGCCCGTTTCAACACTCTCCATGTCGTGCTTGCTATCAACCAAACTTCTCAAGCCTTTCTGCTTCAGCGAATCCCCTTTTCAGGTAACTTTATAAAGTTCCCTTTTTTTCTTTGAAATTTCTTTGAAAGATAGTGAATTTGCTCTGGAAAAGTACTCTTAATGGGACACAAGTGATGAGGCGTGTTTGTAAAGGTTCAACCTCTTTGCAAATTTCTTCTCTCATTTTGGGAATCTTGAATTCAACATCTCATTATTGCGCTTTTAATTAAGACAGCTTTCGTACTAATAATCATATAAGCTATAAAGCTAAGCTGCGAAGCATTTGGGGCTAGGAAAATTGAAAAATATATTGGCAGTTGTGTGGAGAAATGTGGAAACCATGTTTTCGGGCCGAATGAAAATGGAAAACCCGAAAGAGAGAGAGAGAGAGAGAGTAAAATTTTAATCGGGCTTGTGATTGATGCTGAGGTTGTTGATGGGTTTGGCTTGGACTGTTGAAGTGGCTGAGGTTTTACTCTTATGTCTTTGTTTTGTGAAATTTCCTTTTAACTTATCTTTTGGTCATGGAGATAAATAAGGTAGTATAGTGTCTTGAAATATTAGAAGAAAAGAGCTTCTCTCACCCCAAAAAGGCTACGGGCACCCTAAAGTTGCGTTCTTTGTAGTGTTTGAAAACAGGTTGAGGTTCATCCGAACTCTCAAGAGATGAAAAGGGTTATGTATGTGATGCAAATAAAGTCATGGATCTTCCTCGTGTGTGTTCTTTTAAATTTTCTACCTTATAAGTTTGAAATACCACTGATAGATTACGGCATTATACGTTGCTTTAGTCTTATGGTAGTAACTTTTAGAGGCAAAATGGAACGTGTATGATATATGAGTTTTGGTATTGAAGTCTTGAACTAGTGTTTTCCGGCTCTTTCATTAGCATTGTATCCATTCTGAAGTATAGATAATTTAGCTTAGCAGCAACGTAAAATTTCCAGGTCTAACATGGCTTATAATGTATAATTTTTTTAATCTGATTTATTCTGATCTCTATTTTGTTCTTTCTAATGAGCAAGGAATACCAGTCTTTCTGCTAAACAGAATGCCTCATTGTTGTTCTTGTACTTCATACATTAATGCTCCTAATCTTGAGTAGATTACTGGAGTTTTTTGTTTGTCCATATTTGTACAATTATTTGGAACTTGGGATGCTAAATCCAGATGACACTTATTTTTTTTAACTGTACCTCTTGCACTTTTATAATTGGTGTCCCGAATTCCCGTATTCGATGAATACCCACTTGATTTAATTCGCATCTCTGTACTCATAAATCATAATGCGTTATGCTGTAGGGAATTCGCACGAGTTTAAATAGCAGAAGGCTTTTAAATCATTCCAGAGGAACAGGTCAGTGGTATTTATTCAATTTTTTGTTTATATTATTTTTATTTTTCAGTTTTCTGACTATTACTTAGTTAACCAAATTCAAGATTTAGTTAACTGATTGTACTAAAGGGTGAAACTATTCATCCACATGGATTTAAGATTGGTTTTGCATATATCAATTGTGTATCGCCCAAAATAACAACCATATATGAATGTTTTTCGATGAGATGTATCATTAGTTTGTGTGCAATATCTTTAGGTTCTGTGAGCAGACCTTTCTATCACGCCTTCTAATAGTTCAACAATTTGAAAAATGTACAGGCATAAAGCATATCTTAAACAAGCATTCTAATGGAAGCATGAGTTCACAAAATCGAAGCTACCATCATTGCATCATCCATATTCCCACGAGAAAATCCCTCGAGCCTATGTTTCATCTTTCTGGTTTGTGGTTTAGTGAAAGCGTGCAAATTTCCGGATATTGGGTCGGGCCAGATGTAGAAGATGGATGGGGCTTTGTAGAAGCTTCCTTGCATTTCGAATAATTTAATATGTTGATCATGAAAACTTGAGAATTCGTTTCCTTTTTTATCCTTTTCCACAAAATGTATGTGTTACCGTGTTATTTTCCCATCCGTGGCAATC